TAGAACTATTTGCTCCCATTGGTATTCCTCTCACTTGCTGAAAGTTCTTATTATTGAATTTAATGTAGTTATTAAATAACTAGAAAGCTCGGCGGTCATACGAAATGACCGCTGTTCTAGATATTATAAATTGATTATAAACATATGATTTGCTAATGCAAACAAATGTTCATGTTCCCCCTGACACGCTCAATTTGCGTTCAGCTGAAAATTCAGTTTAAAATACAATGTCCGTATAAAATCGAGCAAAATTTTAAACTCTTTACGCGAAAGGATGTTTAGCATCGGAGTTTGGGTAAACCTACCTGATGAGATGTACTACGCACAACTCGTTAGTTGGTTTCGTCATCTTTAATTTCTCAACATTTCCAAGTTTCTAGATTTTTCATATGTAAATATAGTTAAATGCATAATAAGCAACAAAAAATTATGTGTATTGAATGAATAAAAAATATTTAAATGTCCTTAAATACAATGATAATTTAATTAAAACAATGATAACTGCATGTATGGTATCATTGTATATAGACTATTTGAATGTCATGGCAACTTCACCCCATTGGATAGTATAGTTACATAAGCAACCAATAAACTGTCAGCGACAAACAGACACTTAAGCCGCATATAATAAAGAAATGCACGAAATATTTGTGAGCTACTTTTAAATTAATTATTTACATTTTACACCGTTAGATATTCTTTGTCTTGACAGTACTTGCATTTAGTCAAACCTTTTCTTATTTTTAAGAAACAAAGTTATTTTTTACGTTACTCTAAACAAGCTGATTGTCAAGTAAAGCAAAATTATTCTTAGTGAAAGCTGAACGTAATGCAGTTTTAAAACATGAAATTTATTGTACTTCTAATATCGTACAACGATCTTTATTTAAACCTTTGTATCTTTTTTTGTTACTAGACAACAATTTAGAAAGATTTTTCTAAACATAAGGACTATGTTTCTTTGGTTGATTTCAATAAATAAAAAACTATAATAAAATGATATACTTTAAAAATGCCTGATTTTGACTATACTTGTTTTAAAAAGAAGAATACGCTGAAAGAATAAGAAATAAGCACAGCGCAAAGTATAGAATAGATAAAGATGGCCGACAACATCTGTTTAAACAACTTTCCACCTCTATTGAAGCACTTTTCCAAATAAATTTTAACAATACGAATCAAACAAGCGGAAGTATCGAGTTGGCGCATAAATCTTTCTGTAGGTATTTCTGCGAACAGAGGAGGCATAAAATGCATTTTATGACAATATTTACTCTGCTTTCACTTAGCTTTACTATGAAATCGGTGAAACCTGTTATCTAATGATATTTACAGAAGAAAAATATATTTTATAAGAAGCTTTTTCTTAGCAAAATTTTCCCATATTTATCGTTTGCATTAATCAAAGAATGAAGAAGTATAAAAATAAAAAGCTAAAGATTAAGAATAAATAAATGACAAATTTGAACTTTATAAACGTGAAGTAAAAATGGAAAAGATACTTTTCGAACGTTAAAAATACTGTAAAACTTCCTCATGGAAGGAACTCGGTCTGTAAACCAGTCGTCTGAAAATAACTCATGTTCATTGACGAATCGTAAACTGGTTTGAAACTGCGTTACGTAAAATCAAAGGCATGCATGAGTATGAGTATATATTTTGTTTTTCACTGCAATCTGTTTCCAAAATTGTAATTTTAATTTTGTGAAAGGAAGTATTTTCAGCTTTATTTCATTAAAAAAAACTAAGAAAATTTTCCCATTTTGATGGAGAAAAAATGATTTTCAAAAGAGTAAAAATAAGAATTTTCAATAAGATTCGGGTTAAGCTTATTATTACTAGTAATCGTACTAGCAAGTTTTACTCTTATTTACTGAAAAGTAAATTGACGGAACTTCATTATAATTAATTATTTATGTACTTAATTTTTAGATAAATTTCTTATTAGCAAGTGAATGAAAATAATTATATCCAAGAAACTAAAGATTAATGTAAAATGTTGAAAGGCGGCCTAACCGCCAGATTGCTAGCAACGACTAAAATGACTTCCTAACCCTGTAGTGCCATTAACTTAGTTTGGCGGAACACGTTAAGTAAAGTAAACATACATCTATTTGCCAAGCTTACCATATATATCTGCTTAAATCTATCTTATCATATCTACCGTATCTATTTGCCAAGCTTACCATACATATCTGCCTAAATAAATGCTGCTTGAGAATCACATTTGATTTATTTTTAAATTAATATCGATTAAATATAATCTTTTTCTTACTGTGTTCAATTACATATGCATATCTAATTAAATAAAGGGATATACATGCAAATTTTTAATGATAAGATAAAGAAAAATAAATTGCCATGCAAATTTCGGGAAGTAATGAATTAGACTTTCTACTAAAATTCCCATTTCTCTATTTCCTAATTCCTGTAGATTTATCAGCGTATGAAATTCATACGACAAGTAAACTCAAATGTAATTCAACTAAGTGAATAACTTATATTTATATACTCATAGTTTTACGGACAGGCTAATAATTCATTTATTAGCCTGTCCATTATAGTCCTGTTTTCAAGCTGAACGTAATGCAGTTTTAAAACATGAAATTATTGTACTTCTAATATCGTACAACGATCTTTATTTAAACCTTTGTATCTTTTTTGTTACTAGACAACAATTTAGAAAGATTTTTCTAAACATAAGGACTATGTTTCTTTGGTTGATTTCAATAAATAAAAAACTATAATAAAATGATATACTTTAAAAATGCCTGATTTTGACTTTCTTCTGATAGTTCTTTTTACCACAGCTATGCCTAATTTACATTCTTGTAATAAATTCATTTCTGGCATTCTGAGCATTTTCCCTCCGAATAAACATAAATTTCAGGTCTGGAGTAAAGTTTCTCAAACTTTATTCATTCAGCTCAAATCCGAAAATTTGTGAGTGTTATTTTAGAACGATTTCGCTGTTCTTGTGACAGCCTCATTTGATTAAAAAATTTTTGGTCGTAAACTGTAGCGTAGTTATAAATAAATCATCATAACTTATATGACTCAACGTATTTTTATATAAGTTACTTATATAAAACTCAGTAGATTAAAATGAATTTATTCGAGTAGTTGGCACCGTTCATTATTGAGTAATAAAGCGTCAATTTAATTACATTATCAATACTTAGTCAATAACGCATCCATTTAATTACCTTAAAAGGCATAAATCATGCAGTGCTGTTAAAATTGACTGGAAATTTGATGGATTTCAAATAGTTAATGAATTACGATTAAAAGAAAATTGCACAAGTATCAAGAAATAAGAGTTGATACTATACAACAGCTTTGAGTTATTTCCCAATAAACAGGTATTAAAAGAAGGCACATATAAAAATAAAAATATAATTACTCAATTTTCAAAAACAAATTTTCATATGCTATTGCAATTCGTAATAATGACACAACACCTAGTTCGAGATTAAGTAGTTTATATAGAAAACAAATTTAATATGTCCTATAAGGCAATAAATTTCCTGACACAAAGCGATTTCGATTTTTTTTAATTTAACTTTTATTTAATTTTTGAGTTACGAAACATCAACTAGTAACATTATATAATTTAAACGTTGATCAGGACTTAAGTTTGATTAGAATCCTCACACTCACCATTGTTTTGTCTCTTAATATACAAGTAGGCAAAGCTTGTATCATGATTTTACAAGTATCAGACATACAGCCCTAGATCACAATGTACTAATTATATAAAGAAAACTCATGCATTGCTTTAAAGTAGGGGTTCTCAAATTTTTCAAACTTTGTACCACATAAATATGAAACAAAAGTATATGTACCACCATAAAAGCATTTCACCATTGAAATCAATGCATCCTGAATGCAGTATGTAGGTATAATCATATAATAAAACCCTTTAAATTTATATTATTTAATTATATTCGTAAAGAAACTTTTACATTACAATAAAATGTAAATAAGTATACTACGAGTATATATATATATAAATTGTGGTAAACAGTGAGTAATAACACATATACTAAGCAAATAATATAGCTGTAGTGCAAAGCAAAGAAAACACCTGAGTCACGGAACTAATATTGACAAGATACGTTTAAAAAATATATACAATGTGTCTTGTTGACAGTTTAGATATTACAAGGTTTAAAAAAAAAAATGGTGAATGTTGTGAAATTTAGTCAGTTTTCTTGGAAAAGTCGTCATTTCAAAATTAAAGCTAGTGCCGTAAAAGTCAAATACTTGAAAAATATATGCATTTCTGAATAATAAAGATTAAAACAAAATGTTAAAAGAACGCAATTTTACATTCATTTAATTTTTTTCTGTAAAAATTGTGCCACTAAAAATATTACGACAGTTTGAAAACCGGTGCTTTAAAGGAACGAAATTCAGAGATCTGGAATGCGAATTAATGACTCATCTATTCTACAAGAAGAACTACAGAATCATGAAAAGCCTTTTACTATTTTTAATTACAGCTATACATTTACCAGTTAACATAATAAATCAAACTTTGCCCGAAGTCTTGATGAAAGATTTTGGTAGATAAGTTATCACTCAGCTATTTTCTTGAATAATAAATAATTTATTTGTTTTCTGTAAGAAGTACTAAGTGCGAAAAACATTCCTCATCTAACTACAGGAACAAATTAATTTGTATTAAGAATAAAAATTAAGAACAATACCTTTCCTGTTAATAAACACGGTACGAAGAACTAAAAAACAAACTTACTTAAAAGTACTCCACCAATCGTAAATAAAACGGTCAAGGTAAACTTTGTGGAGCGTGCGGTTTCTTGTTTCTCTTTCAACACGTGTGTTTGTTTTGATTTAGAATACGTACATCTTTAGTTGGCCGACATTATTAAAAAAAAAAAGTGAACTTCAAAGAGACAAGGAACGAAGTTCACGAACTCGTTTCTTGCTACTCTTCAACAGTTTGCTTCCTTAATCAAAAACTTCTCGGGTCTTACCTGAAGTAATCCACTTGATCTTTGAGCTTCTTCAAGTTGCTATGGAAACGCTGAACATTTTGTTCCTCCACAGCGTAAAGAATTAATCCAAAAAGTGTCGATAAAGGATATTAATCCATCAACATCGTTACCATTTCCCATAAAAAAAAAAAAAGAAAGAAAAAAAGTACAAAACAGAACGGATGACTGAACTAAGAATCAAATAAACTTTTCACCCGCAAAATATTTACAGGGCAGGTTTACACGTCACGCAACTTTAAGGCAAATTACCTACGTGCTTCTGACGACGGTGAAGTGCGCTTACTTTTCGTCTTCTATTCTACCTTGGCTTCTGCTTCCCGGTACCTTGGCGATTTATCATTTCGCCGGCGTCACGCCAAGAGGCCGCCAAAATCGGTAACGTAAACACGCGAAGTTGGGAAAATTTCGGTAACCAGTGTTGGCATTAATATCTGGATGGAATGCAATCTGCCAAGGAAAGAAAGAAATTTGTTTTTATGCTTTCTTCCATTCCTTCGCTTTTTGAAACAGTAAGTTCGGGATGAATTCCAGATGCAAATCAATAGTTCTCCTTAGACAGAGCGGAGCAAATCAAAATAATATCGTTAGCTACAATAAAACTCCAACCATGGCATCATTATGAGGATAGACGGGCCTCCTCTTTCTATAGGTAGCCCCAAACCCTTCTATACTTTCCCGAAGTTTTTATTACTTATTTTTTATCAATTCTGTGTTTTAAGAATATAAAACTAGCAGAAGCAAAATTTTAAATTTCTAAATTTAATTTTTAGCACACAGCTATTAATTTCCTTTTGGCATTTTACGTTGAAAACTGTAAATGTCCGTTTCACTTTTCAAATTCTTGCCACCAAATATTATCGCCCTGTGTTATATTTCAAGAAATTAAATAATGAAAAATCTGCATAGATTTGTGTTTCTAGCATTGTGATAAAGCAACGGTACCTAGAGCCATCAAATTTTGAATAACGTAATCCTCCACCGAATACACCGAATATGGGCATATAGAAGCCGTAATTTGGAATTTTTAATTTGTTTTATTATCGATTTCATATTTTGTAACACTTTAACAAATTTTTGATTAAGAAACTCAATGATTTCAAAGCGAGCAATGGCAACACTGTTCAAGAAAAAAAAAAAAAAAAAAAAATGTTTTTTATCTCCAGGGCGCGAGACTGTGTAATTCTAAAGATATGCTCTTTTTAAAATTATTTTGCGATATTGCTGTTGAATTCAGTTTTATGCTTTAATTGCGAAAATATATTTAATAAATAAAGGTAACACAAAAAACGTTAAACAAACACCCCTTTAGGCATAATGTAAAATCAGAAAGCTTTCAGATTTAAAAAAAAAAAATTATGTACCTCTCTTCGTATACTAGGCACTGGATTGTTGTCCTAAACTCTTAATGGCGTCTGATATAGTTAAATGAAGTCAGATTTGTAAATTAACGCTAACTTTCACAACCAAACTCTGCTGTTGTGTTACCGTCATATTTGAAGCTCTCGGTCTGTACTAATATGAGAATTTTATGATTATTATACGCATACTCTTATATTTGATTATTAAATTAAAAACAATTTAATTGCACAATTTTGGTCTTTTCTCAGTAATTTAATTAATTAAGATTTGGAAAAAAATCAATAAGAGTTCTTTTATCTCCTCCCTTTGCCTCAGTCATTTCCAGCAAAAAAAAAAGGTCTAACCTGATTTAAAATCTACAGTTATTTATTTTACAAGCTGTAATTTTTATATAAGTTTATATTTTACACGATACAATAATAACTGAAGCCATGGAAACAAAACATACGGAAAGGTTAAATACATTTTTATTTAAATAATTTTAAATGGTATAACGTTGCGCGCCTCTAACTAGCACGCAACCAAGAGGTGACTGTGAAAGCTTGTATAAACCACAGAGTCTTATAAAGGGTTTAAGTCCCTTTTTATTCAACGTACTAATTTACAATTGCGTTCTCTTGACGCTTACAAACGGTGCCAACTCGGCAGTCAAAATAAAAATAAAAACCTGAAAGAAAATTAAAGACAATATTCTAACTACGAGGCTCTCTAAAATAACTAACTCACCGCGTTTTACAATACCGCTGCTAATTCAGCAGACTTGAAGCTCACTGGAACAATTGCAACTACTTCCCGCCAAGCACATAGGCCGCAACGCGGGGTTTTCAATTCTCTATAACTACCTCCGCGCTCGCTAAGTAAGAATAACTCTCTCTCACCGAACTTGTTTCCTTCTATTTAAATCATACTACTTCCGCTGATAATTTGAATGCTTGCGCGTTCTACTCAAATTTACATATTCTGGCATTGGCAGTTCCAGGGGAAAGTAAGGCTTGACAGGAAAGATAGTTTAAACTTAAAATAAATGTTAGTTAAAATAAATATAAACCCTACATTTGCCGCTGCCAGAATTTGGAAAACTTGGAAGCAGGTCCTACAAACGACCTGTTGTAAGTTTATCTAATTCTGAACTAACTGGCGAAAGCCTCGTTTACACAAAAAAAATCTTATGTAACAATATTAAAATTCTGTTACTCGTTACAAAGCTTTCTTCTTACAGCAACTTTTCCTGGACTTCATCAATCAATCTTGGTCTTTCCTTCCAGCATCTGGAAGGAATAAGTATCAGTATCTTTCTACATACATTATAATTTACACTTTCTTGACACAATAAATTTTTGTTTTTAACGTTTCGTTTTTCTTAGTTATTGCTTACTTCACATTCATTCAATTTTTCAAGCATTAATTTAACTTTACCCTGGCTCTCCACCGTGTGTGGTGTCAAACGGGAATATTCGTGTTTTAGTCTTACAACACTTCCCCTAACCACCATGATTTGTTAGAATTCAACAACCAAATAGACACACCTTACTCGACATTCTACAACTCAATGAGCTACTTTAATATTCTTAAAAATTCAAATGTAGGTGGAGAACCCTACAAAACACATTCATTCTAACTTCCCCCTCATTCATCTTTTAAACATGCAGGCTTTCGCTCTAAAGCATGACTTTACAGTTTAATACTTAAATTTTGACTTCATTGCTTTTAAGCATTCACTTTTAGCATCTACAATTTTATGCTTCTAGACTAAATTCTACTTTTACATAACATGCAAGTATTTACATACATTTACAAAAGTTTAATACATATGCTTTTTACAATTTACCATAAAATGAATAAGAGAAAATAAATTTTTACTTTACTCATTCTTCGCCAAGCTGGCGGCACTGAAACTAAAATTCTTATTAGTAATACAAGAATACGAAGTTTATTTTATCTCCGGCCAAATTTTGGCTTTAACATAACAGAATTAGTCTTTCGACCAACAGAAAATGCTTGTTTTTAGCTTTTACACTTAAAGAAAATAATACTTTTGCCTTAGCTAAATAAAGTAAAACAAAACTAAGTCTCAACCGAGACATATTGACTTTCGTCAAAACATAGAACTTCGTACTTTTATGCATAACATTTCGGAACAAAAGAAGAAAAAATTTATAGAAGGTTTTAACTTATCTTTGAGTTTTCGATGCTTGAAACTCCGTCATCCGTTTTTGGACAAAATTGATCCCAAGTTAGAGGTGTCATGGATGTCAATCTTCTCCTTATTGATCTCGGAGTGTCGTCCCCGTTGATCTTTCTTTTGCGTCCTCTACATGCTGGCCTCTTGACGGAGTAATCGTCTGGTTGTTGGCCTTTGCGTTTCTGCCTGGGACGGCTGGTCTTGACGTCCTCCGGTCTGGAGTCCTTGAATTTCTTCTGTTCCTCGTATTTTTGTGCCTCCTGTTGGCGTTTCAGTTTCCGGAACGGCGGCCTTGCTGGCACCTGACTCTGTGGCCGTGTGCGCGTTCTCCTTGATGTGTAATTTCTCCTGCCATCCTTTGTAGGTGTTTTTCTCTTTACCACGGTTTCTTTACCCGGTTCATCTGTATTTTTGTTTTTCTTAAACGCCGGAGTTTGATAATCATTTTTTCTTTTTGATACCGACGTCCGGGTTGTAGAAGTGCTAGGTCTCTCTTCAGTTCTCCGTTTCTTGGGTGGTGGAATAGTTGTTGCAGTCTCTGGCCCTTCTATTTCGTTTAGACTTGAGTCCTGCAAGAAACTTTTAAGGATTTCAAAATCATTTGGATTATAGTATTTTTTTCACCTGGTCGGGACTTGCTTTACAGATTTCCCCTCTCTCGTTTTTAAGATATAAAACTACTCCTTTGATTTCCTGAATTACATAGGGGCCTTCAAACTTTGGAGCTAGCTTTGCCATAAAATTGTCTGGGGCACTTGATAAAGAAAATTTCCGCGTTTCAATACTTTATCCCCAACTTTAAAATCTGCTTCACGGCGTTTTTCTATCGTAATAAATTTTCTGTCTATTTCTTGCCGTATCCGAGGTTTTAAGCGCCTGATCAATTAGTTTTTTGCACGTCCTTTTGTTAAATTCCTGCTCTCTTTGTTGCACAAAGAATAATTTATCTAAAGGCGTAATTAACTTTCTGCCTAAAAATAATTCTGCTGGAGTTTTTCCCGTAGTATCATGATGTGCCGTTCTTAAAGCATAAGCTAATTCATTTATGTAGCCATCCCAGCGCTTGTGATGTGTGCTAACGTAACTGCGAATTATTTTTACAATGTTTTTATTAACTCTTTCTGCTATGTTAGCCTGTGGTCTATACGGAACCATTTTGATATGGCGTATATCAAGTCCATTGCATATGTTTTCAAATATTTGACTAATGAATTGTTTTCCGTTATCGCTAATGACTTTTATCGGTGCACCGTATTTTAAAATGTATCTGTGTAAGAATGCATCTGCGACTGTTTTGGCTGACGCGCGTTTAAGTGGAACAATTTCTATCCATTTTGAAAAATGATCTACTATTACTAAAAGAAAACGATTTTTATTTAACTCGCTCTGGGGGAAGGGACCAAGGAGATCTATGCCTAAAATTTCATTCGGAAATGTAGCGCGAATGCTATTTAAGTACCCGGCCGGGCTGTAATTAATATCATTTATTAACTGACATTGATTGCAGGACCTGACATACGCCGTTACTATTTTGTATAATTGCGGGAAATATACCGCCTCGCGTACCCTTTTTAAAGTCTTTCTGACCCCGAGGTGGCCCGCTGTTTTTTTTTCGTGCAACTCCCTCAAAATGCTTAATCGAAGCGAGGCTGGGATGACTGGCTTATACTCAAGATTTTCGTTGTTGTTTTCGTATAGAATAATAAATTATCTATTATT